CATCTCCATCCCTTTTTTTTTTTTTTTTGATACCAGGGATTGATCGAACCTCAGGTTCTTGGGCTTGTGAGACAGGCAGCGGAACCACTGAGCTAAATCCTCAGCCCTCCCAGCCCATTTTTATGTTTTACTTTGAGGCAGGGTCTTATTAAGTTGCTAAGTTGCCCCAGATGGACTGTGACCAGAGTCTTAGATTTGTTCTTTTAAAGTTATCTATGAGTTCTTGTATAATCTTTTTGCTAGTTCTTATTTTTTTTATTGTATTATTAGTATCTGAATATTCTAGTATATCTACTTTGTCTTCAGGTCCTGATAGTCTTTCTTCTGATTCATCTTTCCTACTGCCCAAACCTTTCAGTTGAGTTTTTTACTTGACAATTCAGAATTTCATTTCTAGGGTTTCTTTTTGAGTATTTTCAGAACTTCTCTTTACTGAAGTTTTCTTTCATATACTATGTTATCTTCCTTAATTAATTCAAGTGCTTACTTATATCTTCTTTAACCTCATTATTATTTCACTTATCAGGCTTTTTAAAAATTCTTTCTTTGGAATCGTATCCATTTTTGTATCATTTTCTGGAGGCACCTTGTTGCCTTCTTTTTGTCATGATTTCTGTGTTTTCTTTTTGAACTTTGCACATCATTTGGAATGCATGTCTCTACTGCTATATGGAGATCTTTTTAGTAAGTGGCTTTCTCTTCGTGTCATATTATTGGCTGCAGGTATGTCTCAGCATGAAAACACCCACTGAACTTACTCTAAGTACTAGGTTCAATCTCTAGCACTGCTTTGTAGGGAGCAAATAACTACTACTAATGCCAATATTGAAAGAACCAACCCTACATCAGCATATAATTTTTTAATTGCTTAAAAGTTCTTTATTATTTTAGTAACCCAGAAAGAGAAAGGGAGAATAATAATGTAGGACAGACTAGGCAAAAAGAAAAAAAATAGACTAATAATAATATTTACGTACAAGAAAAAGAAAGGTAAAGAAGGGGAGATGTAAGCCGGGCATGGTGGTGCATGCCTGTAATCCCAGCACTCGGGAGGCTGAGGCAGGAAGATCGCTGTGAGTTCGAGACCAGCCTGGGCTACATAGTGAGTACCAGGTCAGTCAGTCTCAACTGCATAGTGAGACCCTGTCTCAAAAAAAAAAGGGGGGGGGAGAGATGTGAAAGGATATGACATGTGAAAAAAAGAAAGAACAAATGAACATAAGGGCATATAGATGAGAAGTGCAAGAAGGTACGGGGAGCTTGAATCCATTTAATGAAATAACAGAAACGAACGTTTAAAAACCATGAGAACCAAGCTTTGATATGGGAAGAATGACCAAATGAGGTAGGACCATGTGGAAACAAAAGTAAAAACTCATACACACGCACGCACACACGAAGGTCTGATACTCCTTGTGTGGAGCATTTATTCTGGAGTCAATTATTTCCCTTAGACTTCCCCTTGGACATTGCATGAAAAGGGGGTTGGGGGTTGTAGTTCACAGTTCTCTTTCTCCACCTCTCTTCAAATAGGAGAAGTACTTTAGGGCAGTCCAAAGGCTGAACTGTGACCCTCTATGGCTATAGATGTGTATTTAGGAAGAGCTGCCTCAGTGAGACTGGCTCATGCCTGTTCCACATCTGGGAATGAGGGCACTAGAAAAACCCAAGCTGCCCACCACCTCCCTCACTGGTGTAGTCCATGGGCAAGTCTGGACTGTGGGCCAAAGCTCTTTAAGTTATCGGATTGTGGTCTTGTAGGTGTGGCTCGTCAGGGTCTGTACTTTGCCGTGTTTATTCTAAATGACTCGCAGCAGAATGGAGGGGGTTAGGCACACAGGGTCTTTGCTAAGGTGGGAAGCAATGGGTGTCTGCCTTGTGCTGGTCTCTCATGGCATTCCTAGGACCCCCCCGCCACACTGCAAAACCTCATGTGGCTGAGGCCTGTCAAAATATTTCAGTCCTAACATGTTGTTTATTTCCAGCCTTTTTTCTTTTCTGGCATTTCCCTCCACCTGGGTGATGGTGCTCATTGCCTCACAGCATCTGTCCACCCCACTGAGACTTTTCCAGTCTGGAATTGTCTCTCTCAAGCAAGGCACTGGGGCATTTTAATTTTCTGTGATTTTAATTTTTCTGTCTGGCCCAAGCTGTTAGGGTTGGTACCCACTGCCTCTTTGGGCAAAGTGGCTGTTAGCATCCTGGAAATATAAAACTATGGAGGTTTTCGGTTCTCCCTCACTATCTACTAAAGCAGAGGAAATTACCTAAGATGTTTTCCATCCCCAATTCTGAGTCCATCTCCTGCTTGTTCTGGGGCAGGATGACTTTAAGATGACTTCCCAAAACACCCCTGTCTAAGTCTTTACAGAAATTCTAGAAATTATCATTTCTGCCCCTGCTCCTTGGCTGAACTCGGGTCTTGTTTCTCTTAAGGCTGTTATTTCTGTTCAGTAGCAAGGTCAATAGTCACAAGAATATAGTGAGGTTCTTCTTTTACCATAGAGAGCAGAGAAGTTTCTCTCTCCCGTTGAACTACCATTCATTCAAGGTTGGTGTCTGTTTCTTTTGCTGCTTTACTTAGATTCCTAAATACCAGTATTTCTGGGTTTCACCTGGTTGCTAGTTCATTGAAGTTGCAGTCCAGCAATTTCCTTTTTGTTCCCCTGTCTCCTCACAGAGCCATTTACCTTTAGGTTTGGATGAATGTCCTGGAGTGGCTTGTGAGTGCAGGTTACTTCTTCTGTGCCAACTTTTGGAGTCTATGATTCTTTTTCTGAATTAGGTCTTTTTTCTTTTGGTACCGGGGATTGAACTTGGATCCTTGTGCTTGCGACGCAGACAGCAGAACCACTGAGCTAAATCCCTGGCTCTGAGTTAGGTCTTTTTTGTTGGTCGCATGATAAAACTGATGCAGGTAGAGCAAATTTTTTTATAATTACATACTGATTTGGATTTATTTCTTTTGTGTAGAAGGAAATGTACAGTTTACACCCGAAATTCTATCAAAATCCCCTGAAGATGTTCAAGGTATGAAGGTCAGTGGGACTAAGGTGGATAATAATAATGAAGGACACAAGAACGGCAATGTGAGTAAAGATCTCTTAGCTGGGTCCAGTGACTACCCAGAAGCAGAAGAAATCACAAACAGTGGCAAGATTTCAGAAACCAGAACATTAGTTTCCCTAGAGCCTTTAACTTCTGTTGATCCGGGATCAACAGAAGCAACTCCTAAAGAAAAAGAATGTGGAAAATTACAAACTTGTCCTTCTTGGTTGTCATTATTATCAGGGACCAGTGCCATTTCCCAAATGGACAGTGGGAAAGAAGAACTGTGTAAATCAAACCTGTTCTGTGAAGCAGATGACAATCACGAACAGATTCTTGGCCACCGTAATGAAAAACACAATTCTGCATTCGACAGTTCTGAAGCCATGGGAAATGTAGATGCCATAAAACCCTTGGAAGAAAATTCTAAAATTTTGTATCTCATACCATGTTTGTCTGATCCTGAATCCAGTATAACATCCTTAGGAAAGTGTGGTTTGCGGAAGAGATCTGCTGAAAAGACAGACAATTTCTATTTTGATAAGAGTGATACAAGCAAGAACTTGCCTTCTAGAGAAGAAAATGAAGAACAGTCTTTGAATCCCAAGAGTGAAAGAGCAGAACTCTTGTTTATTAATGCTAGACAACCAGAAAAGGATTCCAGTGGATATTGTTCTGGTAAAAAAGAAAATATTGATTCCCCAAAAGGAAATGTCTGCATTCAAAGCAGTAACCATGCAGAGAGCTCTAGTTCTTTAATGTCCAATTCTTTAACTGAAGCCATGGAAATAATGTTTAAAAAAGACGATTTGAAAATCACTTTAGACATTCAGGGTAAGTTGACAGACCCTGAGGACCATAAAGAAATTGTTATTAACATGAGCCATTTGGGTGGACACTCTGAAGAAAGCAGTTTTTCCTCTGTGGTGCAGAATGAAGAGCCAGAACAGACAACCATTTTAGAGCCCAATACATTAAATGAAAAGATTTACAGTAAGGACTCTAACTCCTTAGTCAGCTTACAGAGAAATCTGGACGGTGATACTCAGTTAAATGAAACATCATGTAATGATTTTCTGTCTGAAAGAAAATTCTTTGTTAGTTTAATGCCAGAAGATCAGATAAGTTCTATGCCTAAAGAGGTATCAAAATCTGAGGAAAATGCTGCTCAATTACCACCATCTCCAGAATTGAATTCTAGATCTGAGTCAGAAAAACCTATAGAGACCTCACATGATAATATTCCATGTTTAGATGAACAGAGCATTGCCCATGAAATGAGTGAACTTTCTTGTACCAGTGAACTAATTGTAAATAAAGTAGAATGTGAATGTGTTTTAAATCAAGTGTCCCTTAATTCTCAAGATCATGTGAATTTGCCAAGTGATTCCCCACTACATATAAACAGAAAGATGCCTTTAGCAACAAGCAAAAATGCCCCACAGAGCCATCATCCTCCATTAGCAGAAGGAGCAGATGTCATTGCTGATGCTCAAACCATTTCCACTAAGACAAAAGTGAAAGACATCTCTCCAGTAGGTGACATAACCTGCGGTGCCTCTTCAAACAGCCCCACTTTAAATACCACACCGGAAAGCCTAGAAAGAAAAAGAGAAATGACTGATTCAAGAATAGATCTACATTCCAGTTTCCCCTCAAGTACAAAAGAAGCAGCTGGCTTTCCTCTAGAAGTCACAGTCACAGAATGTCAAAATGTTCGTTCTCAGGATCTCTCCAGCTGTCACTGTGTAAGAAAAAATGCACCAGAAGAAAACTTGTGTTCTGCTTGTGTTGCTTTTGAGCCCAGCGAAAGCATCCTGAAAGTCAGTGACTCTTCAGGAATAAAATGTGACAATGCATTTCAACATAGTGATCACCACTCCCAAGAAATACAAGAGTCCATGGAAAATAACCGTAAAGTGAGTTGTATGCCACAGGAGAGCAAAGTTGATGGGAGAGGAACTGAAGGCAGCTATACAGAAGGTACGATTAGAAATGAAATGACAGCTGGTATCTCCGATAGTGGAACTTCAGATGCAACCATTCACATCACTGGTCACAATGAGGAAGAGCTAGATGGAAAGGAATTGGATATACCTGAAGAGACTGTGTTTCGTAAATATAACATCTCTGATTGTTCTACACAAAAACTAAACCAATCTGCAAACATTCCAAGTCCTAAAGCATTGTCTCCTACTTTTATGTTCCCTAGTTTTAAAAACATGAAACAAGCAGTTGAAACTCTTGACCAGAAGGCAGATGAAGTCCTTGACTGCCAGAATAACCAAAACAGACCAGATCAATATAGAATTGATGATAAACTAGTTAAGGAGACACAAAATAGTGACCAGAGAAAGACCATCACAGAGGACAAAAGAGAGGTAAGCCACAATGAAAAGGATCCAGGAGTCAGTTTAGGCAGTAGTAACTCGGTGTCTTGTAGTAGTTCAAAGAAAGATTATTCCAAAAGAGCTGTTGAAGATATTTCTGGTTCTGAAGAGTTCCCAGATGATGTAATAAACATTGTCTGTGCAGACCATAGTAAAAAGCCTATGGAACATGTGCTGAGCATGAAAGTATCTAGTGTACTTGATTGTGGTGTATGGCAAGATAGACTAGCATTACACAAAACCTTAAGGAGTACCTCAACTCAGAGAGATGAGCTAAATGCTGAATTTATAAGAAAAACTGACAAGGACTTAGATCTCTCAAATGTTGCTAACTCTACAGTGGGATCCCTTGAAGTGAAAAAATCAAGTGAGGATAAATTATACAAGTCTTTAAAAGACTGTAAAATGGAAGAATGTCTAGAATCCTGTGCCCATGAGATGGAGTCTGTTGCAGATCATGAACCAAATAGAAGAATAATGGACAAAGTAAACATGTCTTTAAATTATATTCATCATGAACACCAAGGTAAAGGCACACGTCTGAGAGAAATACAAACAATGACCAAAGGATCAAAACTAGAAGAAATGAATTCTGAGTTTGGCAAGGAACAAACTTTTGGAATTTCTTCAGAAGACTTAGTGTCTTCTAGATGTCAAGATGAGAACTCTGTTCCCTCAGGGATGCTTGAATCCATTGAAATAAAGCCTTTGTGTTTGTCTTCTCAAGGAAATTCAGAAACTGATATTAAGGGTGAAGAAACTGACCTGAAATCTCTCTTTAAACCAAAGGGTGGTGAAGTTGTTTGTGAAAATACAAAGGACTGCACAGTCCTGCCTAAGATGAAGGTAGAATTACCAAGGGATGTGAGTAATCCTAGTGAAGGACACATCAGTGTGAAAAAGAATGTTTGCAAAGCTTGTCACCCTCAAGAGAATTCCACTGACAAACATTTATCTTTGATCATGGAAACAGCAACTAAAGCAAATGAAGAAGAAGAAACCGAAGGACATCAGAACAGACCCCTAGATCATTTAACTGTTGAGAAAGAACTTGAGGAGACGATTGCCAGAAAAGGAAGTGAGGGTTATCACTTGAACAAGACTTCTCAGGACCTCTTGAAATGCCAGAGGATCCATGGTGATCCTGCAAAACAGCAAAGCCAGAAACTTTTGGACTGTGTGTTGCTGAAGGAAGAGGAACATGTGTGTCATAAAGGAGCACAGATAGTATTGGAACAATGTAGACCATCTAATATGTTGTCAGATGAGGTGCAGACAAAGTACCATACAAAGGCTGATAAATATGAGTCCATTATGAGGAAAGAAATCACTCTAGCAAAAGCAGCGACGGGCGACATTGCTGGTCCATTTCAGAAGATAGAAGACCCAAAGAAGGAAAGCTTTTGTTGTCCAATAAAGGAAGACACTGAGTTGTGCACAGTTCCTTGCCTTCCTGGTGCTCCTCAGAAAGCACAAGACCCTGACTCCGCTGCGTGTGATCCAGTACATGGTGCCTTTGTGAGTACTTACCATCAGAAGAGCATGCCTCCCTTAAAGAAGCAGCCCCATCGAGCATGTAAGAGAGTTTCCTATCAGGAGCCAGTCAGCATAGGGAGGAAATTAAATAAAATAAAAAATTCTGCCTTTGGAAAGAGTTCATTTGATCCCATACCCACAAAAGCACACAGACTTCTCAGCTCATGTTCTGCATCTGTGCCCACCCAGTTGGAACCCCAAACAGTACCTTCCAGGAGCTTGCTTAGCCACATACCAAAGCAGAGGATTACTTCATGCCATCCTTTGAGAAACCTGAATTTTAAGAAGTCTACCAAAGAATCAGCCTTATTAAACAAGCTCTCTATCCTTGCCTCCAAACTAGCTCCAGCCACAAAGACCCAGAAACTCAGATATCGGCGATGTTCCTCTGCACTTCCTCCAGTGGCCAAAGGCTACAGGCGCCTCAGATATAAAAGGCTCCTAGATGGATTTTCATATAATGCAATGCAGCTGGATCCATACTTGGCAGGTAGTGGATGGGCTAAGAGGCCTAATAGTAAGCCTTTGGCACTTTATTCTCTCGAAGCCATCAAGATGAGCTTCATAGATTTGAGCAACAAGATGCCATCACTGCTTTTTGGTTCTGAAATCGTCCCAGTTTCCTTTCATGTGAAATTAGCCTCTGATTGCATGACCGAGTTCTCGAGGATTTTTCCTGAGCACTGTGCTCCAGCAAGGCTTGCCTTAGAAGAGGCCTCCCAGTGCCCATCTCAACCACCCAAGTGGACTTTTTCTTTCTTTTTGTCCCATGGTTGCCCTGGGATGGCCACATTCAGGGAAGACACTGGCCACTATAGTCAGACACACACTCAGGCTCCTCAACAGACTCCAGCTCCTCTTCAAGACTGTGGAGGCACCTCCATAGTCCAGACCAGAGCAAACTGCTCTGTTCTTGGCCTTCACACGCTTCTAGCACTTTGTTCCCCAGGATGTTACCGAATCTGGACAAAGAAACGGAGCTTTTCCAGTCACATGCCTACCATGCAGAGGTTCTTCGTGGCCCAGTTTACACAGGGCTTAAAGGGATTAAGGTCTCCAGCCTCCATAGCAAACAAGATCTTCTGTTCTCTGCCCTACTCAGTGGGCAGAGTGTTGTCTATTTGGAGCCAGCATGGGCCTTCTTCCTGCTCCTTCGAAATTTCTGCTCATCATTCCATTCACAGCAAGCAGCAGCCAAGTGTGGACACCACAAGCAGGTAAAATCTGTCCCTTATTCTTTGCATGTTTCCTTCCTACCACTGGGGAGAAGAGAGAGCACTATTGGAAATGTGAGGCTCTTGAGAGTCATCTTCGTGTCTGCACTTGCTGTTTACTTTGCCAGGTATCTTCTGAGAAAATGCAATGGCAATTCTTAAGTGTAGATGCCCATGTTTTTCTGCTAAATCTACTTCTATATTTTGTAGCATTTTTTTCTGTTTATTCTTCAAATCATCAAGTTTTTTTTGGTTTTTTTTTTTCCTCTTGCAATACTGGGGGTTGAACCCAGGGCATCACACATGCTATGCAGATGCTGTTACGCTGAGCTATATCTCCTGCCCTTTTTATTTATTTTGAGACATGGTGTCACTAAATTCAAAACTTGTAATCCATTTGCCTGAGCCTTTGGAGTAGCTGGGATTACAGGCATGCCTCACCATACCTGACAATCTATTGAGCCTTTTGAATTTCTTCCTTTATCCTTTTGCCCCCACCTTGACAAGAATAAATACCCTGCAAGCAAAATAGTGACAATGGCTTGTAACTGTATGTATTTCACAGAACATTATACAGAGCCACGTAACTCAGTGTTTTGTGTATTAAGGATACAGAATAAATATGTTCTTAGTGAATGAATAAGTTAGATATCACCAATTCTAGATTAAGAATCTCTACATTTCTTTCTGCAATATAGAGTCTTGAAAAATTGCTTATGACAATAATTCATCTTTCTATTTCAATCAGTAGTGTTTTGAGTTCTGTGGTGGTTTTCCAAAACCCTTTTATTTCTTTATCTAGCTCTCTGCTAAAATGCTCAAGCAACTATATACATGCACTCCCTGCCCCATATTAGAGATTGAACTCAGAGCTTTTGCTACATCCTCAGCCCATTTTAATTTTTTTTTTTAAAGACAGCATCTTACTAAATTGTCAAATTATCCAGGATGGGCTTGAACCTAATGGATCCTCCTGCCTTAGCCTTCCAGAGTGCTGAGATTACAGGTGTGCACCACCATGCCTGCCTGCCAGCAGCTTTATAATGACACTGAGTGATTCTGCTCAAGAAACTGCCCAGCTGTATTTAAAAATAAAAAGTCTTTCCCAGGCTACTGTGGAATGTTATTCTTGTTGCTATTGTTATAATGCTTCCTAATTTTTTCAACCACAGTAATGGTAAGGGCAACTTTAAAAGCTATAAAGTTTCTGTTTATCTAAAGCATTACTAGGAGGATTTATCTACTTCTAAAGCAGCTCTTTAAGGGGCTGTTTCTTCTTTTGGTGTCGGGGATTGAAGCCAATGCCTTGTACACGCAGAGCATATACTCTATGACAAACTATAACCCCAGCCTTCTCCCCCGATAAAGCTTCTTTAGTTTTTTTGTTTGTTTGTTTGTTTTTTCCTGTTTAAAACAGAGTCTCACTATGTAGCTCAAGCTGGCCTTGAACTCATTAAGTAGACCAGGCTGGCCTCAAATTCTCCATGATCCCCTTGCCTTAGTTTCCTGAGTATTTGGATTACAGGCATGCATGTGCCGCCACTCCTGCTACGAAGTAGCCCACCATGCCTGGCTTAAATTATGTTTCTGTGGGATTTTCTCATTTAAACCTTACTCTTCAGCACTCTGTAATACAGGTTGGACAGACATCTTTGTGTGGGGTGGGTGCTTATCAGTGTTGAGACTAAGGCTCATAAAGGTTTCTAAGCTTCAACCGTCAGCTGTTGAAGGTTTTCACTAATCTAGATACTAGAGGGCTGGGGATTCAGCTCAGCAGCGCTGAGCCTGCCTTGTATATGCAAGGTCCCAAGTTCGATCCCTGGTACCCAAAAAAAAAAAAAAAAAAAAAAA